AAAAGTTGAACCTAGGATGCACCCTGAGAAAAATGAGTGAAAATCATAAGTTTGGGGGTGTGTGAATTTTTCAAGCGAGGAAAGGATATATCGGATTACTTTGGGACAAGTGTTAATTTTTTGCTTTTTAGCAATTGGAACAAATTATAGATCTAATGGTAAAAAAAATTATCACTTTAATGGATAATTTTCATGAAAAACGAAGCCAAACGGACACTAAACTTTCAATATTTTCTAGGTGAAAAATTATACCAATCAAACACAATTAATTACAATTCCCAATAAAATAAATTCTAGGCAAGTCAATTCCTTGTAATTCATTTTTTTTCCACCCAAATTCCACATTTGCAATCAAACGAACCCTAACATCTCAAGTATTACGTTCACTGTTTATTGTTTCAAAATCATTATTTGATATTTTGCATTGCAGATTTTTTAATAAAATAAAAATGAATTCAGAGGAAGTATTTGAAATGGAATTGGAGACTTAAAAACATTCCAAATTTTTATATTTGAGTAACAGTGACTTGACTGCTTCCTATCTACAGCTTAGTAGTTATTTAAATTTGTATTTTAAAAAACAGCATTTAACAGGTACTATTCCACATTCAATTGGAAATATATCAGATTTGGAGTTTTTGCATGTTGGTAACAACAGTATCCATGGAGCTATTCCACAAGAATTGGGACATCTGTCGAGTTTGAATACGTTAGATTTATCCCTCAACAAGTTTGAGGGTGAAATACCTGAATCCATCTTCAACATCTCGAGGTTACAAGTACTTAATCTATATCACAATGATCTCTCTGGCAATCTTCCATCATTAACACCCCGATCTCCTGATCTTACAGGACTCTATGTTAGTTTTAATCGATTGAGTGGAGAAATTCCTAGTTCTATTTCAAATTTTTCTAAACTTACGGTATTAGAGCTCAGTAGCAACTCATTCAGCGGACATGTACCCATGACTCTTGGAAATTTACGAGACCTCGAAATACTACACTTGGCATACAACCCTTTGACAAATGATCCATCAATGCTCGAATTGGATTTTCTCATTCCGTTGAAAAATTGTAGGCAGTTGAGGATCATAAGGATTGGGAATAATTCATTTGATGGAATGCTACCGAAAGCCATAGGGAATTTGTCATCATCTCTTGAAACCTTCTATGCCTATTATTGTGGCATCAAAGGTATGATTCCAAATGAAATTGGTAATATGACCAATTTGATCGCCTTAGATTTAGGAGGAAATGAGTTGATAGGAACAATTCCTCACACATTAGGTCAATTGAGGATGGCTCAAGTGTTGCAGATTGATGGAAATAAATTACAAGGGCCTATACCAGTCACGTTTTGCAATTTGACAAATCTTTACGTCCTCAAATTGAAGGAAAATAATCTCTCTGAACAGATTCCGAGTTGTTTTGGAAATCTTACTTCTTTACGAGAAATTCATTTATCTTACAACTCATTGACTTCTATCATCCCATCAACACTGTGGACTAACAAGGATGTTTAAATAATGGACTTGTCTTATAATTTGCTATCTGGTTCTCTGGCTTCCGATATTGGAAGTGTTACCAGCATGAGAGTTTTAAATCTATCAGGAAATCAATTCTCGGGTGATATTCCAAGCACCGTTGGGCAACTAGAGAGTTTAGAAATTCTTACATTATCAAGTAATAACTTACATGGTCCCATACCCGAGTCATTTGGTAATTTAGTTTCACTGACGTACTTGGATCTATCCCAGAATAATCTCTGTTGTGTACTTGTGTAATCCCCAAGTCATTGGAGAAACTTCACGACCTTGTGTATTTCAATGTGTCATTCAATGAACTTAATGGAGAAATTCCCAATGGAGGGCCTTTTAAGAACTTAACAGCAGATTATTTCATGGGCAATAGAGAATTGTGTGGAGCATTTCAATTTAAGGTCATGCCATGCAAAGATAATACAACTAGGTCATCAAGCAAGATACGAATTTTGAAATACATTTTACCATCAGTTATCTCGGTAGCAAGTCTTGCTGTTATTATGGTTTGTTTAATGAGAAGTTGTAATAAAAATTCAGCTCGTCCTGCTCAATCTAGTCCTCTCATCACGGTCAAGAGGATTTCATATTATGAGGTTCTTAAATCTACAAACAATTTTGATGAAGAGAATCTGATTGGTAGAGGAAGTTTTGGTTCAGAATACAAGGGAGTATTTTCAGATGGAACTATTGCTGCTATAAAGGCTTTCAATTTAGATGTGGAAGGTACGAACAAGAGTTTTGATACTGAGTGCCAAATACTGTGCAAAATTCATCATAGAAATCTTGTTAAGGTAATTAGCTGTTGTTCTAACCTTGATCTTAAAGCGTTGGTGTTGGAACATATGTCTAATGGAAACCTTTAACAAATTGTTGTACTCTAGCAACTATTGCCTAAAAATAGCTCAAAGATTGGAGATAATGATAGACGTGGCCTCTGCTTTGGAATATCTACATCATTCTTATCCCTCTCAAATTGTGCACTGCGATTTGAAGCCCAGCAATATACTTCTAGATGAAGATATGGTCGCCCATGTAGGAGACTTTGGCATTTCCAAGCTCTTTACAGAAGACCAAAGAATTTCTCATACCAAGACTTTGGGCACCATTGGGTATATGGCACCAGGTAAATTGTTGTGCTTGCTTTCTATTCTCTTTATCATTTACTTAGTTCGTCATTTATTCATCAATTTGTATTTATGAGTTCACTAGTTAATTTGATCGCATATACCAATTGTTGTAGAATATGGATCAACTGGATTAATATCGGCTATGGCGGACGTTTATAGCTACGGTATTATGTTGATGGAAACATTTATAAAGAAGAAGCCAACAGATGATATTTTTATTGAAGAGTTAACAATGAGGAAATGGGTGTTTGAATTCTACCCTGATTCAGTAATGCAGATAATAGATGTGGATCTAGTGGATGGAGTTGATGCGAATATTAAAGCTAAAGAGTGCTGCTTGAGATCAATTATGGGACTAGCACTGGAATGCACAACTGACATGGCTGAGGAGAGGCTAGATATGAAAAATGTACTACTCAGGCTAAAGAAGATCAAAATCGAATATCTTTCTAACATTACTGGTGAAGAATAAGACAAAAGGGTTTGTTTCTTGTCGCTAATGAACTATTTTGTTCTATTTGAATCCATGCTTTATATTGACGGCTTATTATTTTACAATGGCAGGATACTTGATACTCATTTTGAAGATTTAAGCTGTGTTAGGATTTCAATGCTGTTATTAGCTTTTCTTCAGGACATTTTCCAGGTTGCTCTAGAAATTGTACCCCAAATCAGTAATCCGTATATTTTTATGTAGTTGCTCTAAAGTAAATTAAACAGCATTGACAATGGTTAATTTGGTGTTTGAGATGATATTGCAACACAGAGAAAACCTCTTGAAGAACAAAGGAGAAGATGTGTAAATACCTTGTGTAGAAACGTTACTTTCCATATTTTCTTTTAACAGCCAAGTAACTCAATTTTTATTAATCCTTGCTAATCGGCTGCAATCATTGGTACAATGCAAGATAGTGTTCTATCCGACCAAACCATGAATTCAAAGCGAAGCTGTCATTTTAACCAAAGCATGAGCAACACTATTTTCTTCCCTATGGATAAAAACACATGATAGTGCGGTATAAAAGGTCTCCAGCTCTTCAATGCAGCTATCTATCACACCTTTCTGACCACATATGTACGGCTTCTGCACGACAACCACCGCATTTATGCAATCTCATTTGATGATCCTGATGCCCAGCCTTTTCTCCATGCAAATTGCAGTCCTTTCAGCCAAGACAATTCTCCAGGCTGACTTCGACATCGCTGCTTCCATTGCCCCCTTATCGTTTCGGCATATGGCTCCAATCCCAAAGAATTCCAGGCCCGGGTTAAAACAGCCACATCCACATTGAGTTTCAAGAAACTCTTCAGGGTTGGAACCCATTTAGTCTGATGTAATGTCGCTCGAAACAGGAAGTCCAATGCCATCAATCATTCTTTGGTAAAACTGAAATTCGTCTGAGAACAAAACAGCCTTCTCAAATATATGCTGGTTTCTCGGTGGATTCCTTGGAACTATTCTGTGTTTCTATCCATACAACATAGCCAAAGAAAAACTGTGAGGAGCTCCATTTCACAATCAAAAAAGTCCTCCAACTCCAAGCCTTCAGTGGAAATTTAGGGATGGCAACGGGACGGAGATGAGACAGGAAGGGGTGGGGGGGGGGGGGGGGACCCTCACCCCCGCCCCGCTAAGCAATTCCTCGCCCCGCCCTTGCCCCGTTACCCGTTTAGGGCAGGGGGGGG